ACGTTGGCAAAGAAGTATTTCTTCCCACTTGATGGCAACAAGTTCTTGGAGCTTGGGTCTCGCTTTAAAGCTTCCCATTGCAAGAGCCTTTTGTGGTGGATAGCTTCGCGGACAAGTCAAGCTTCGTATGATTTCCCTGACGACCCTTTGAACAGCTTTACAAACCGTCTTTTTTATGTTTGATCCAATGGCCACTCCATGGGTTCTGCTACTAGTCCCACAAAAGAACACTTAAACTCTCAGCCTTTTTGAGGACGTGGTCATTCGAACCGTGGCCTTTGGAGCTTGGTCCATCAACAGGGCGATTGAGATCTTTGACCATGGAGGTCTTCTTTTGACTAGGCGTAGTTCGAAGCACGGCAGTAGGGGAATCTTGGATTACCTCAGAGCCGTGCAGTGGCTCTCACTTAACCATGGCATCCCAAGGGCCAACCTTTTTTTGATGAGACCAAAATGCCACTTCCTCTGGCACACAGCTGTCCAGACCTTGGAGTGGGAACTCAATCCATTTATCTTTGACAATTTTGCTGAAGAGAGTTGGTTGGGACAGTGCAAAAAAGTGGCCAAACACTGTCATGGGAAAACCATGACGCATCGTGTGATGGATAGATACTTGCTCTGTTTGGGGTTGTTTTTAGAAAACTACCGGCGCAAAGCGCGCGAGTGGGCACCGGAACCAAAGGACAGGGTTTGACCTTGGCAGAAAAAGCTGACCACCAAGAAAAGGGTTTCCCACAATTCAATGTTTCTATGCTATGTGAGGTTCACCCTGGCCATGTTCCCTCTGGGTGCGTGCAAGGCACGCATGCTTGAAGCTTCAAAGCTTCGCAGCTCGCCCGACATGGGGCAAAATGGAACGCGGATAATGGAAAGGTCTGAAGGTTGCAGTCAGTCATGTGTTTTCCTTTTCACTCTCTACTATTTTTTTCTCTGCGGTTACTTCGAGGGCCTGCGTGCCCACGAACGCCAAGCACACATTGGTATAGCAACAAGTGAGCTTAAATGAACAACATTTTTTCTGCACCTTTTCTTCTTTTCCTCACGTAAAGTAAGCTTACGCAGTTCGAGCACCACATCCGACGCACGCATTCGCACGAAGCCTCATGAAACCCATAAATTCCACACACACTGGTACCCACCAAGGCCCAGAACCGCTATAGTGTCCACGGTTATGATGTTGAAACCTTTGAGTTACAGGGTGTGATTTTTGGAGTATGCCCCACACAAACACCAAAAAAAACGTGTATAGTTCCGAGTTATGCAAACTTCCGAGATACGGGTAGATTACAGCAAACTTCCGAGTTACGAACATGCCTGTCATTTCCATCCGCGCGTGCATGCATGAACGCCGCTGTCGTTTAGCTTCCACGGGCGCAAGCTCTCAGGCATCGCCGGCGGTGTCGTTTCCATGGACACACAATGGCGCAT